AGGGGCTGCACGGAGCGCGGGTCGAACCATGCGGGCCGGGGGCGTCATGCATCGCGTTAGGATCTGTAGTCCTTCTTGCCGTAGGGCTTGTTCCCCAGAATGTTGTCCATCTCGTTCACGATGTGCGATGTCATCTTTGGAAGAACCTGTGAGCAGAGGAAAGCCCGCGGTTCGTTAAGATGCTCTTAGAAAGCGCCACAGGTTTTTACAAGCCCAAAGTTAGACTGGACTAAAGCCTGGAGCCGTGCTCGGTACTTGCCTGGATGGCGCCCAGGTTCTCGATGAGCTGCTCGGGGTTGGAGGATCCCAGGAGGACGGAGCTGACGCCCTCGTTTCGCAGGCACCAGGCTGCAGAGGGGCGGCAGGGTGAGGGACGCGGCCTGCGGGGGGAGCTGCAAATGCTGCGACCTCAGCGCGGGGGAACGCTCCCCGTCCCGGCCTCCGAACCCGCGCCAGCCTCTGGTTGGCCTCCCCTTCCCCTTTTTGAGGGTGCCCTTCCTGCACGTCGGGTGGCTCTCCTCATCCTCACGGAGCGCAGGTTAGCGAGGCTGGACTCCCCCCTCATTGCCACCAGCTCTTGGTTTTCCCCACCTCCTTCCTGCAGCGCGCCAGGGACGCGGGGCTGCTCGGACACGCGAGGGACGCCAACGTTTTCCACCCAACCCCCTTTCTGGTGGAGCCTGGTCCTTTCCGGGCGCCACGGATGGTCTCCCGGTGCCGGCGCCGTCCCGCGCGCCGCTTACCCACGGCGAGCTGAGGTAGAGTGCAGCCGAGACGCTCCGCGATGGGCGACAGGTCTTTCAGCTTCCCCTGCTGCTTCCGCCCTTCCTCGCTCCCGATCTTCTCCTTCAGCCACTCTGGTAGCACTGGGAGCAACCACAGCGCGAGCAGCCGTCAGCTTTAATCTTCCCAAGGGGAAACTTTGGGGCAATTATTACCATCTCTTCAAAAAAATATCACCCCGGGACTTAAGAGAGCCTGAGAAAATCAGCACTGGCTGCCTGAAGCAGTTACGATAGGGAGAACCAGGGCTCTTCCAAGAGGTGATCCCGCACCAGGCGGTGGCGGAGCTGGAGCGGACTTGGCCATCCATCCGTGCACCCGCATCCTGGCCAGGACCCACCTTGAGCGCAGCCCTGGAGCTCTCGGGGACCCCGTTCCCGTATTTCCCTGAGATGATGCCGCAGGCCAGCGGGGACCACGTCATGGCGCCGACCCCTGCGGGCGAGCGCGCGTGAGGGCGGACGGCGGCTCCGGGTGCT